CGCATCTAGTCCATGAGATGTACAGCTTTGTATGGTGCCATGCAGTGCCTCACCTTTTTCTGGAAACAGATGTGCTTTGATACATACATGCCCTGTGTTGTGAAACAACGTTGCTCAGCCCCCTCTCCAGAAACCAGTCTTTATACGTTGGAATTTCTGATGGTTTTTGTCAGCTTCTTGTGCTCGCTGTGAGCTCACATCTCCTACTCTTGGTATTTCTCCCTTGGGCCCCCCTGTCTTCCCTGGTCCATAGCAGGCTTGCAAACAGCCTTGCTCTGAGGGCAAACCCTACCCTCATCCTTATCAGCTGCCCAGTTGGTTCTCAGGCCACTCTAGATACCCTCTCCAGGCAGTGTGAGAACCACGAGGGAGATAAGGAGGCTGCAGTGCTTGTTGATGGGGGAACACAGCTCTGCATCCCTGCAGCAACAACACTCCCCACTGAGGCCCGGGAGGTACTTCTTGTCCTCTCTGCGAGTGACACTCGAGACCTTCCCATTTCCCTTAAACATTCTCTTCTGTTTACCACTGACATGCAACTCCCACGTGGACTTTGGACAAGCTGAGATAACACCTGCCCTGTGCCTGGCTGTGCAAAGCTATTTGTTCCCTGCGGAGTTATTATGGGACTCCAGGTCTGAGACACACACTAATTCAAATTCTTCTAATTCCCACTTGCACTAGAATATTCTGGGCTACATTAAAGACCATAAAACACCTCTTGTGGTATCAAATCCATCAGAACATTCCTTCAGTCTAGAGCTGCGTGTCAGGAAAGCCAAAAGAAAATATTTAAACCAAGAACTCTTTTCACAGAGGCCCTGAAGCAAGGAGGAAGCAAGGATTTTGGTCCTTGCTTCCCATGGCAGCCTTAGAAATGCCAGATGAGGTCACACAGACTGACAGCTTGTGTGGAGGACCTTGCCTATGGTTTTAGTGTGTGTTTCCCTCGCAACAGGAATTCTGATGTCATAACCATGTTGCTTCTTAAGCAGTTTGCTTATATTTTATGGACAGGCTGTACAGTAAGAAAGCCCTGATAGACATTAGGAGCTAAAATGCCTTTGCCAAAATCCAATCCGAATTTAAAGTACCATGAGCCCTAGGCTTATTTAAACCTCCCAGAAAGAGGTGTGCTCCACCAGGTCAAATTAATGGCTCTAACAAAAAAAACAACCTACACAAAATCACCCATCTGCATCTTCCCAGAGAGGCTATTGCACTATGTGCTCACTGAAGTATTTAACACAAAACTGCCTCACCACCAAGCCTTTCTTGGTATCTTAAAATATATTCCTTTAAATTAATGGTAAAACACATTTTCTTTGCTTAAAATAGTCTCATGTTGGGGATGAGGGGTATTAATTTAACTAAACTAAGAATTCTGCTTTTAGTGCTTTCCAGTGGGACCCAGTTTCTAAAGATAATATTTTTCCCTGAAAGGCTAACAATTTTCATTTAATGGGGGAACTTAGGCTGGAGAAAACTATACTGTTAATTGGGGGGGGGGGGTGTTCTTATTGTAAACCCCATCTGCTAAGCTGCCATCTGCTGCTAATAGCAGGAAATGTAGTCATGAGAAATTCTAACTTTACTGGGATTTGGTAGCAATTGGGGTTGTCTCATTACTTCCCAGAAGTGTTCAAGACATTCTTCTCACTCTGCAGTTCTCTACAAACTATTTCATTCAAATGGCATTTGTCACATTAGAAAAAAAGTGCATTTTGTATGATGGACTTTTCAATGGTGTGGTTTTTTTTTTTTTTTTAATTCTACAAGTTCTCTTTCTCTTTGCTTCATAAAGGGCTGTGATACAAAGGGTGCCCTGGCCTTTAGCTTGGGTTGGCAGTGCTCTGTGCTATTGCTCATCTGCTTTGCCCAGGGACACTTCTTTAATTGCAAGAAGGCCTCTGGGGCTGTTTGAGCTGGGCTCCCACCATTGCTCCAGCCTTTGGTCCTTGTCCAGAGGCTTGGAAAAAAAACAGAACTGAAGCACAGGAATTTGTTCCCAGCTCTCTGCTCTCAGACTGGGAGGTTCAGTGTGCATTTGGTGTGTTTGCGAGTGGGAAACTCCTCTTGATTTGCTGAGTGGGAGGAGCTTCGTACATTCAGGGAATATCCCTGCCCCAAAATGGGACTCAGCTGCCTGCTCCCTGTGCTGTGCTGCGTTACCCATCCAGGACTGCTGGGTGCTGGTGTAAGCACTGGGCTCCAGCTCCTGGTGTTGAAGAAGCCATTCTGTTGGGCTTAAGGGACAGGGACCCTGTAGGCAAAGGCCAGCTGGCAGTGAACAAATAGACTTTGTGAGTAGCTGTGCAATCACACTGGACTGCCAGCTCACCTGGGCAACTCCTGAGTGAAGGCTGTGGCATGAGTGTCACCAGAGCCACAGTCTGGGAACGTCATCGAGGCCTTCACAAGGTGCACATCCAGCTCTGCTGGGCTGTCTGCCTTTAGCAACCTGAAGAGTGTGTGCAGCAGTGTGTGTCCCAGGAGCAGGGGGGTGGTGACAAGGGAGTACTGTGCCTTCAGGGTTACCTTCACCATAACTTTGCAAGGCTCTGAGTGCTCAGGCTTGACAGGACGTGATGGGCAAAGGCCACTGTGTGAAAAAACACCCACCTCCTCTGAAGGCCGTGGTTTTTGGAGTACAAAGCAGAGATAAGCATTAGAGAGCAGAGGGGTGGACTTTATCATCAACAGCTGACAAGTGGGAGGTGTGTTTTCAAATGCAATGAGAGGAGAGGGCAGAGTCCTGCTGTGCATTAATCTATGACATGTCCTGTGTTTCAGGGTGGTGCAAAATCAGATGCCTGGATTGGGTGTGAATCCGGGAGCCACGTCCAGCTGCAATGAGGAAACAGCAGCGTGCATAGGTGTGGAAGGGGCCAGGCAGGCTGACAAGTAAGTAGTGAGGATGTCAGAAGAGCTTTGAAACTGAGATGCTCAGGCTGCATGTGTGTATACCCAGTGGTGGATTATTCCTGGGTGACGGGATCTGTGATGCACCAGGGCAGCAATGTGATTCCTCCAGGCATGGCTGATAAAGGATCTGGCCCTGCCTGCCACAGCAGGCTGGAGATGGGTTTCATCCTGTCCATTGCTTATTTCACCAGCACGAAGCTTGGAGGATGAGGCTTTCTGTGGGTTAAAAGAGTGGTCATTACCACAAGCAGTGACTGACTGCTTTTAAAGTGTGGTGTAGGAGCTGTGCAGTATTACCAATATTAACAGTTTGAATATCACTAAGGTGATAAACTAGAGTGAATGCATGATGGATCCAGTATGGAAAGTTTTTCGCAGTTTCAAACTTCCTGACAGTTGCCTTGTAATTTAAAAATTGGAGAAAGTGGCTTATCTGTGTCATCTCAACTGGCAAGCAATCAGTGGTCACAAAATTAGGTCACAACTTATTTAGTTCAGCAGCCTAACAACACTGCTGGGGACAGAAAAGGGCTCTGAAAAAGATGACACACAACAGTGTGCAGAAAAACAAAGTGCCACTTAGGTTTTGCATCACAGAGAAAGGTCATGGAAAGGCTGTAAAATGAGAATCCCAAGGCAGCACTGTCTCAGCAGCATGGAAAGGGAAAAACCTTATCCTTTGGAAGCTGCTCCCACCAGACAGCTTTAGTCAGCTCACAAAATTCTTTCATTTGGGGTTCCTTCCGTGAAGTTCCATGTACAGGAAGGCTCCATAATCCCCAGCTGGATGGAAGAGAAAGGGAGATACACAGGATTCCTCCTGCTTTGGGGGAGTCCTGGAGGGCCCTCCAAGTCCCCATGCCAATGGCTCAGAGGCCACCTCAGAGCCGAATTTCTTATGAGTTCAAGTTTGTGTTGTCCTCTCAGAGGGGAATGATCATTGACATTACTGAGCACTTTCCCCTGTAAAATGAGAAAACCTAGCTGGGAAAAGGCTCCAGCCTTTCGTGGCCACAGAGTCAGGCAGAGTAGCTTCCCTTCTGCAGGAAAGAGTTCCTCCCTCAAATAAACCCGGAGCAAAGCAGAGACCTCAATTAGTGCTTGAGCAAGGACTCGAGGCATTCCCTGGCACGCGTGTTATGCAAGGGTCAGGTTCTGCTGCCCTCATTCCCGTTCCTCCCCGAAACTGCAGCCATTTAGACACATGCCTCAAATACATGAGCAGTCCCACCTACCGCTGTGGTCTGCTCCAAAGCCTCCCACTGACACAGAGCCAGCAGCCCCAGTTTCACTGGTCCTACAGCTGGGGTCACCCAGCAGCAGGAGCATCAACCAGGGAGTGATGGATCTCTGCCTCATGAATCTTAGCTCTCTTCCTGCCCCCAAAAAGGACCTATGCGAGAGCCAGGTTAGGTGCAAGATTAACTTACTGCATTTTTGATGCTTTAGAAGCTCATTTATGCTAAATCAGAGAGCAGAGTACATTGTAGGACCCACATAATCCAGTGATATTCCTAAAGACAGCTTGTTATTTGTAAGCTCTGAGGAATGACTGCACTGGATATCTCTTCACTGCACTTGGCCCCCCAGTCCCACTTGCTACCATCACATGAATACCTAATAGGCAATTTGGGGCTGGGATCTCTGGGGAAATGCAGCTCTGGTTATGAACCTGCCTTCCCCCTGCAAGCTTGGGACCCGTACTACAGCTCAATTTCTGTCCAACAGAGATTCCTTCTGCAATGCTTTCCATGTCTGGGTGTGGGAACAGGGCTCTAGCCACAGTGTGGGTACCGCTTCCTAGTCCGGTGGTGTGAGGAAAGCAGCTAGAGATGCAGGAATGAGGGAGCAGCATCGATGCTGCTGGGCAGCCCTGGGCAGTTGTGGAGGGGAGCAAGGCAGTGATGCTGCCCTGCATTCCTTTGGGAATGGGCTGGTGGGCAAGGTGACCTGGGAAACACCTTTCCCTACTCCAGGCTCTCCCACTACTGCCCTCTGCCTCAGCCAGTGGCTCTGAGGACTCTTGCTGGAAGGCTGGATCTTGATCAGCTGCATTTTTAAAAGCAGGACTCATCTTTAATCTGCTGGGATTAAAAAGGGATGCAGTTTTACCACTCATCAGAATTTAGGTGGTGTAAACAAGTGTTTTGCAAACACCAGGACCAGCAACAATCTGTCACTGTCAGCAAAAGCAAGCGCTCCACCCTGCTTGGGGCCAGGCTTGAGCTTCACCCCAGACCCATGGTCCCACTAACTGGTGACCATGGCTGCACCCAACAGCTGGTGCCAGCCCTGTGGGCTGCAGAGGACTTGATTCCCAAGGGTTCTGCCAGCTTCCTACAGAGTTACTGCATCCTCTCACAGCTAGAAAAGCAAGAAATGGGAGGGAGGGCAAAGAGGCTTAGACAACGGTTCATTGGAATAATTTAAAAGTACATTCTGCAATAGGTTCAGTCTGTTTCACAGCTTAGTTCTGCCTGTGTGCCTTCCTCTGGCAGGAGGGCCTCCAAGGTCCCGTCTCCTCTGGCAGGGGATGCCAGGGAGCCATCCCTCAGTCACTCTCGCTGCTGGATCGGTGGGCTGCCGCCCCACGGCCATGCTGCACCTTGAGGCAGGAGGGTAGTGCTGCCCTGCCAGTGGACAGCGAGACCTTGCTGACAGAGGACACGCTGCGGGCCAGGGGCTGCGTGGGGAACATAATTATGCCACGGGGTGCCTCCAGGAGCTGCCAGATCTCCCCCGAGGTGGAGCCGCCCAGGTACTCCCAGGGCCGGCGGCCGCTGCAGTCCCGCACCTGCACCTGGCAGCCGAGCTGCAGCACCAGCACCTTGATGACAAGCTGGTGGCCGTGTATGGCAGCCAGGTGCAGCGGCGTGTACCCGCAGCCCGAGCGGGCATCCACGTCCAGGGCCAGCCCCGCCTGCCGCGCCGCCGCCGCCAGCTCCTGCAGGCCGGGCCCGTCACCATGCTTGGCCAGCCAGTGGAGGACCGTAAAGCCTGACATGAAGTCCCGCAGCAGGGCCAGCTCCGGCTCTTCCAGGAAGAGCCCCCGCACCCGTGCCCAGCACCCCGCTGACATCGCCACTAGCCAGGCGTGCTCCCGCTGTCCCAGTGGCACCGACGGCCCCCGGTTTAGGGCATTCCTAGGGGAGCTCTTGGAGAGCGCGGTGCGGGGCTGCCGCCCACAGTCCTCGGGTAGCGATGGAGTGCTCTGCACTTCCGACAAAGCGAGCTGGCACCTGATGCTCCTGAAGACAGGCAGCGGTGCTGGGGGACAGCTCTCTGGGGCTTGAGGCACTGCGGGGCCCTGTGCTGGCTGCAAGGACTGGGATGGAGGTGGCCTGGAAGGGGGTGACTGCAGGGAGCGGGATGGAGCTGGCTGAGTGGGGGAGTGTGGCAAGGATTGGGATGGGGGTAGCTTGGTAGGGGGTAGGACCTCAGGACCTGACGGCAGTGTGAGGGTTTGGCGTGGGTACAGCAGCAGGACTTGAGACTGAGTTGGTCCGTTCGGGGTCAGCCCCCTGGATCCCCTCGGCAGGGCTGGGGATGGCCTGGTGGGGAGCTGCTGCAGGGACCTGGACTGTGATGGGGGCAGCCTGGTGGAGGGGAGCACCTCTGGGCCTGATAAAAGCTGTGAGGATGAGGAGGAGCTGGCAGGGAGTGCCTGCAGGGACCGGGACAGGGGCAGCACCCCCGGGGCGGAGAGCAACGGCAGGGACCGGGATGGGGGCAGCTCGGTGGGGGACAGCGCCCTGGGGCCCGATGACAGCAGCGGGGACTGGGAAGGTCCCATGGGTGGTCGCCCCCTCAGGCTTGCTGAGGGCGCTGGGGCCTTCAGTAGGGGCATCCCGGTCGGGGGCTGCGGCGACGACCGGGGCTGAGGCAGTCCCGGGCCCGACGGCAGCCGTGGGGACCGGGAGCGGGACGGTGTGGCAGGGGGCGGCCCGGCGGCAGGCAGTGGCGGCGATGGGGACCGGGGCGGCGCAGCGGGGGCCAGCGCTCCAGGAGCCGAGGGCAGCAGCGGGGGCCGGGAGGGCAGTGTGCCGCCGGGACGGAGCGCCCAGGGCCCCGAGGACAGCGGCTGGGTCCGGTACGGGGGTGGCTGCCTGGGGGTGGCGGGGAGCGGGGCAGCCCGGCGGGGGGCGGCGCCCCGGGGCCCGGCGGGGGAACGGCTGCGGCGGCAGCGGCAGCGCGGCGCGCCCGGCGGCACTCGCAGCAGGGACCGCCGGGGCCCCGGGCGGAGCAGCCCCCCGACACTGCGGTGCTCCTCGGGGGCTGCCCCCCACACGGCTGCCCCTGCTCCGCCGCCTCCCCGCGGGGGCCGCGCCGCCCGTCGGGGTCGCGTCGGGGCGGCGGCGGCTCCGGCTCCTTCCTTGCCTCCTCCCGCTGTTCCTCCGGCGGCGGCAGCTCCTCATCGAGGAGGTCGCGGTACCTGCGGCGGAGGACGATGTCCTTGGAGGCGCCGGGGGCGGCGGCGGGATGAACGGTGGCCAGAGAGTTGACAAGGCTCTTGAAGTACTCGCGGCGCTCCCGCCGCTGCTGCTCCGTCAGCGCCGGGTCGCGGAGGAAGCGCTGGAAGTGGCGGAGCAGCGCCGAGTTGGGGGCTCGCCCCCCGGCCGCCCAGAGAAAGTCCAGCACAGCCTCCTGGCTCAGCTCCCGCGCCATGGTCCGGGCCGGCCGGCTCTCGGTGCTCCGTGCTGTGCCTCGGTGCTCGGCGCTGAATCCAGGTGCGGCGGAGAAACCCGCCTCCTGCCGCGACGGGCCTCTCCGCCTCCTCCTCCTCCTCCGCAGCCGGGCAGCCACCGCCCGGTCGCCTTTGCCCGGGGTGGTGGCCCGTGGGGCGGCGAGCTGGGGTGACAGTGAAGACGGATACGGGGACTGGAGGAGCTGAGAAGTGCGAGGGTCATTTGCTGGCAGCTGGTGAGGAGAAAGAGTGGTTTATCAGTCATTATGGCAGCGAATGGACAGGAGATGATAGACACAAACTGAAATTCAAGAAATTCCATTTGTGTGTGAGGAAAAACTATTTTATAGTGAGGGTTGTCAAGTACTGGAACAATTTGCCCAGAGAGATTGTGGTCTCCATCATCAGGAGATGCTCCATGGTACACCTGAGCAGGGGCTGCACCAGACCATGTCCAGAGGTGCCTTCCAACCTGAACTGCCCTGTGATTCAGCTAGTTAGGAGAACCAGCAATAAAGAGTCACGAATGTGCTGTGGTTCGAGCGAGCTGTTATTACAAGTGTGTGGGATTGTACCCATGTACGACAACCACACACAAATACCAAGAGTGCCTGCAATCAAATAATATCTCATCTCATCTCTGTATCCTCTGCGAGGCTGAGATAGGCAGGACATACGTACTAGCGTAGGGATCTCACGTTGTTCTTTATTGCTAATTCTGTTATCACAAGTGCATCTGTAACAGTTGAGAGGGATGGGTAAGGTCAGAGCTCCGGTGGGCAAGGTGCCCTGTGCGCACCAAACAACTGACAGCCCCTGCCCCGAGGAGTTTGGGGAGTGGATAGTGGGTGGAAAGGGTAGGAGAGAAGGTGTGCTGGATTCTCTGCTTTACAATCAGGGAACAGAGGCATGGAGGGACTGAGCTCAGTGTAGGCTCACTGGCTGTAAAGAGGTCTGGATCAGACCCTAAGTCACGCTCCAGAAACCATCTCTGCTGCAGGCTCACGGCTATCCGTAAATATTTTTAGCTGCCTGTCATGTAAGCAGCTGGAATATCCTCCAGCCTGCTGCAAACCCAGAAGTGTGTGCAACCCTCACAAGCCACGGGCAGAGATTGCAATAAATGATGTGTGCAAGCTACATCCCATCAGCGGTGTTCATTTGGGTAGGACACGGGTGCTGGGAAAAGGGTCAAGGCTTATGTTCTTATTTTATCATTTTGTACGTGCTTCTGGTGCAGTTCTTCCAGGCATAAATACGTTTCTCCCTCCTCTTCTGATGAGCCCTGGATTGCAGTCAAAACAGCATTTGTTAGCAGCACACTCTCAGTGGAGGCATCTGAGATGAAATGAATGGAGTGTAATGGTGTAGTTGTGATCACAAATAAGAAAGGAGAGTAGGCTGTGAAGATAAAACATCCAAGTAAACAACAGCGGCACGTGACAATACAACTATGAAAGTTGTATTTGGCTTAATGAACTGAGGCATAAGCAGGAGGCTTTCCACGATACCACATTATCCTGGTTTCAGGTGGAGTTTTTACCCCCGCCTAAACAGCAGGTCTCTCGATTCTTTGGGTGAAATTTGAGTGAGCTCTGAGTAATCAGAATCACAAAACAGAGGCAGGATCGAGCATTACTTCACCATGAAAGAATCAAAAATAAGCCCACCACTTAGTCTTGTAGCTTTCTGTTGTTGTGTGATAAGATGTTGCCTTTAGTGAGCTATGTATCCGGCTTGTTCATAAACAGGAGGTAAGTTACCAAACTTCTGTGTCTGCTAGTGTATTTTATCCCCTTTAACAGACAAATTGCCCTGCCATTGACACAAAAGGGCATTAAACCTTGACCAGCCATGTCTACAAAATGATGCCAAACAACTTTGGAAACAAGGAAGCAACTCCTACGGGGTCTCTAGGATGAGGGACTTGCAATTCCCTTGGCTTGGGAACAGATTTGTTAGCAGCGGTTAGGAAACTTTCAGGAGCTAGGGGTCTGCTTCTTCCCAGTGAACACTAGGAATGCAAGGAACTACACTAGCTGAGATCTGGGAAGATTGCAGAACATTTCTTAGTGTTGATGTTTTTTTTCCCCCCTGCTCTTTCAGCATGAACAGCCGTACCCAGGGAGGTGTGTATGCATGAGTATCGTGGAGACTACTCGACCACAGCTCTCCCAGCTCCGGGCCAAGGAAGGACACGGTGAGTCACATCAAGGGTTTGCGAGCGGAGAAGATTTTCGTGTTGGTTAAGTTGTGCTGATGCAGGAGTATCATGTGTGCCTCTAATTCAGACCAGGGGAAGCAGCGTCTGCCTCACCCACAGGTACAACAAGGGCGACTCTTGAGATAGGATTGTCAGGTTTCCACTAGAGGCTGCACTGGTCCGGGCACATTTCCCAGTGCAGGCACGCTTAGCACCTCCTCACCTAGAGCCCTGTGTGGAGGAGAAATTTGCTACAAGAGAGTTAATGAGTCTAACATCGAAGCCTCCCTTGGATATTAGCATGGACACCTAAGATGTGTCATAAAAGCCCTGCATCAGCTATGCTTCCAGAATGTTCCAGGTAGAACCCCCTCAGTGTCCGTTGGTGTAGCAGCTGTGCCTCATTAAGGGCACTGCCCAGGTGCAGATGCTCTGTCCCTGATGGGCGGCAGGGCCGAGTAGTGCTCGTGCACTTCCATTGTTTCTGGCTCAGCCTGGGGGTGACCACTCTGAGCGATCAGTTCCCGAGTTCTTCCACACGTGATCAAAAAAAAAAAAAAGCTGCAGGAGGGAGATACTCTGTAGCCCTCTGCAGACAGCCACGTGCTTCTTCATAACCATGCAAAAATGGGCTTTGGAGGGAAAAGGTACGAACTCGATGTCAAAGAGCGTACAAATGGTAAGTGCATTGTTGAGGTCTATTTGCTTACTACTACCCTGGATTGGTTGTTTGTAGAAGGTGCTCTCACCTTTTTGTCCTGCTGGCTTTTTGGTTTGGTTCGATGGATGTTCACATATAGGGGTAGCTCTGATGTGTCTGGAATTTAATGTATCCTTCATGAGCGCAGCAAATTGGGTCAGTGTTTTCCATAGCCTTTTGCGGTTTTGTGCCTCACAGAGCACTGCAGGGCGTCATCACTACCTTGGTTGAAGATTTGCAAGCAGACGTGTTAAGTTTAGCTCTAAGACTCCCACCTTTACAGGTAAAGGGATGTCATGCTTAACAACGGGATGTTAAGTGTTTTGTCAGTTGGAGCGGCAAGGAGCCAGTTGTGCTTCACTTCATCCCTGGAAATCACTTGTGGAGTGGGAGAGCGACTGGCCACCATGGCTGTTGTTTGGTATACCCGGTTGGTTGAAAAACGGAGTGTGGGTGTGTTTGACGGGAGAGAAGAGCTCGGAGAAACGAGAGGAGCGAGGTGTCAGGTTTTGCCCTCTGTGTCGTTATACAAGGGAGACAGGGGCTCCTGTGTGCCTCTCTGAGTATCTCGTTGCCGAATCCCCGATCTCCTTCACCAAACTGGTGAGAGGAGAACCTTGTTGGTCGGTTGCTTGGCTATCTCTTTCAAGGGTCCCTGGAACAGATGAGTCTGTGCTTTCAGCGGCGGGGCTGCCAGGGTGGCAGACAGTGACCCTCTGGGGTGAAGGGGACGGTAGCAGCGGCCCGTCTCGGGGCGGGGGGGTGCGGGCAGGAGAGGGATTAGTGCAGTCTCCGCCGGGGATGGAGCGCAGCCCCGCGGGGCAGCAGCCGGCTCTCGGGGCTCCCCGCGCGGCGGAGCGGCGCCGGCCGGCCGCCCGCGCTGCCCGTTGTGCCCGGGGGAGGGCCGGGGGGGTCCCGCCTCGCCGCCCGGCCCCTTTGCATTGCGCATGGGCCCTCCCCGCCGGGTGGCCATGTTGCAGTGCTAGCAGGCGGCGCAGAGCGGCGGGCCGGCAGCGCAGGGCGCAGCGCTCAGCACCGCACCGCGATGGCCGTGGCCGTGGGCAGACCGGCGGTGCGCGGGGGCAGCGCGGGGCCGGGCGGGGCCGGGGGCTGCGGGGGCGCTGCCGGCGATGCCGAGCGGGGGGTTGCGGGAGCGCGGTGCCCGCGGCGGGTTGCGGAGGGCTGCGGGGACGCGGGGCCGGGGGGCACGGTGGGCTCGCCGGGGCGCCGCCGCGTCTGCCCCTTCCCGGGGCCGTGGGGGCCCGCGCAAAACTTTTTCTCTCCGTTTTGCGGCCGTGGCTGGTGATTGCGGCCGGGCCGGCGGCGGGCAGCTCGTCCCGGAGCCCCGCGCTCCGAGCCGCGCGGGGCAGCGGGGAGGCGGCGGGGGTGGTCCCCGGGCTGCGCCCACCGGGGCTGAGCTGTGCGTTGGTGCTGTGCCGTGGGTGTATTTCTGTCCCGCCGCCTCCCGTGGACGGGAAGAGCTGGGAGCGGGCAGGGCAGTGCCCCGTGCCGGGTGGGCAGCCGGGCGGGCGGGACGTGCCTGCATCCCTTAGGGAGAGGCGCCGGGCTGCGGCGGGAGAGGCACGGCAGTCCCGGAGTGAAAGTCTTCCGAGGAGCACGCGTTTTCCAGCGTGACCGTTTTTCTCGGGATGTGGTGGCCGGGAGTCTTCTTTTTTTACGTGCACGTTGAGAAAGACAAAAGATTTCCCCTTTACAGAGAGAAAGAAAAAAGCCCAAACCCACAAAAACATAACAGATGCTGTTCCCGGGAAAAAAAAAAAAAAAAAAAAAAAGGCAAGTCTCTCTTGCATCCAGCTTGAAGAAACGTGAATGAAACTCCACCGTGACCAGACTGAATGCACTTTTGTGCGTCGTCGGCCGCGGGAGGGAGAGACTTGATCGACTTCCCGGCAACTTTTTCAGTGCTTGCGAGTAACACAGATGTTGCCCATGAGCCGAGGACTTGAATGTAGCTCCTTCTCATAATAAGAGAATGGTCTGCGTTCAAGATGTGACCAGAATGAGACAGTTTCTTTTGGCGTTTATTATGTGCTTGTGGATCTGCGGGGCTGTATGGTTCCTCTGATGTGGCAAAGCAAATGTATGGAGATGGGGTTAATGGTGTTACTGGAGGTGGGGAAGTTATGCTACTAAGCAAAATAAGAGCTGATGTTTGTTAACAGAATACTTATAAATTATACCAGCTATTTGTAAAGCTTCTTCTGAAATGATTCCTTGATCTTAAGGTCTGAAGCATGCTTGGAAATTGAAGTTTGTCTCTCAGTGTAAGAAGATGCATTGAAATCACAGCTTCAACTGGTTTTTAGGGCAGGCTGAAGGGTATCGCCAAGCCTTTTGGCTTTGTGTGGAGCAGTAACTTCACAATATGAATAGGCTCAGGAACGTGGCTTGTTGCAAGACACGATTGCTGTTTGTTTCTGAGTATGTGTTTTGCTTTATTTTGTTGTTGTTATGTTAAACTCATGCTGCCACTCAGGCTCTCGTGTTTTTCGTTAATCCAAGTCCACGAGCAATCCCAAAGCAGCATCCACTAAGGGTTTTGCATTAGTTAAACCAAATCCCTGTGTGCTTGTGCGGCTGAGTCCAGTGCAGTGGGGCTGACTGCAGGATAAACCATCCTTCAGCATGAGAAGCATGTGAGTGTGGGAGGAGGAAGGATGAGGGCACTCGGCTTCCTCGCAAGCAGTTGGTGGGCAGACCCTTCCTTCACCCTCCCGAGCCGTCAGTGCTTTTTGGAGAAGAGTTGTTTTATCTTGGGGTGATAAGAGAAGAAAGGACAGTGGGCTGACGCTCGGGAGGCATTTGGGGGAGTTTTGTGTTGTATACCTTCTTATCTAATCCTCTCTGCTCCCACTTTACATGCTGCCCTTGCGTTGCTGGGAGGGTGGCAGGGAGTTGGAAGCACTTAATTATATAGTAGACGAAGGCAAGACTGGTGAAGATTTGCTTTGCAACTTTCTTACAGAATGTGATTTAAGTGGAGCCTTGAGTGGTATGCGCGTCTGGTTGGAGGGAGAATTAAAGGAAGGGGGAAAGGAAAGGAATGAAACCAAAAGCGAGTCAGTTTGACTTAAAAACGATGATAACATTCCTGAGTCACAACCTTTTACGTCCTGGCAGGATATGACATTATGTTAATTGTAAAAGCATGCATAAAGAATAACTTGAGCAAACTGCTCTGAAGTGTCTGTGTGTAATTGTAGCTGAGCAGGGCGTGTTTTGGTAGGATGGGCGGCTTTCATTTTTAGGCCCTGATCCCACAGATGTGAGGGCACATGTGTAATGCGCTGCCTGTAATTTCATTTGCCTTAATGGAGCCTGCTCTGGGTATGTAAATGTAAAGGCATGCATAAGCAATATTTTGGCAGGATTGGTGCTGGGAGCTGCCCCGGGAGCTCTCAGCTGATGAAAGCCGTGCATGTGCTTAAACATGCCCCAGGCTGGGAGGATGCACATGGTCACCTGGGCTCAGTGTGAGATAAGCCACTAGCAGTGTGGAAACTGTTGAGATGTGCTAGATATGGGACCCCTTTCTTCCTCCTGGGTTGCTTCCCAGCATCTCGACCAGTGTGGGATGGGTTCTTAGTAGATCAGAGCATGGAAGAGGGCTCTGGCTTCGCTACCCTTCTCTTTATGTATTTATCCCAAATGTTTACAGAATCAGAGCTTGGTCTGTTACAGGAGCGAGACTCATGTTTACTAACATGTGTACAGTGATGTACGCCCTGCTCCAAGTCAAACCAAAACTGAGGGAAAATGAAGCTGCAATGCAAATTTGACACGGGAACCATGGAAAACATTATCTGAGAGATTAAAACAGTGCAGTGCACACTCCCATCTGTTTTAACAATACTTGATAATGAGAGACTGCTGGTTTCCATGGAGGGGAGGAAGGAGAGGGAGATGGGGAAGGTAGAGCAAGAGATGAGCACAAAGAAAGGATGTCTCCTTATCTCTGTGAGTGTTTCTGTACTCTCACTAGCCAAGTATCTGGTCACAGTGAATGTGATGTTGTGGGCTTGGGTGGTGCTACTGAGGCTGCTGAGGTGGCCAGGGCACAGGTTTTGGTTTCCTTGCCTGCTTTCAGCTGCTGAGTGGGCCTTCTTGGGCCTGGCCTGGCTCAGCTGTCTGCACCAGGGAAGCAGACCTGGGTGGTGCACACAGGACTGTATTCTAGTTTGTGACCTCTCAGCTTCCTTTGTTCACCTCAGTGCCTTGTTTGCAATAGGAAATTCTTTCAGACAATTCTTGTTGCTCCTGTTGACGTTAACAATGGTGGGAACCTGCCTCCTCCTCGCCTTTTTTCAGCACAGTGTAGGTTGTGGGGCAGGTTAGGTGTCCAGCCCACCACATGCTCAGGGCCTCTAGCTTTTCCAGCAAAAAGGGAGCTGACCGGGACTCAGGATCCGATGGAGATACTTGGAAAGGCCTTACTTTGTGTAGATGAGATGATGGGGAATCAATTTTAGTGTCTGAGTAGGGCCCCTAAAATGGGGATGGATTGATTAAGTAACTATCATAAATCTGAGAAGTAAAATATTTACTCAGTGCTGGGACATGTTTCATATGTCCCCTTCCCACCCCTGCAACCCCCGAGAGAGAGAAAGCTTGACTGGCTGGCTACCCGCTCTCAAACTGTTTAAAGGTTGTTGGTTCTCTTTCTGTGGCTCTTCGTCCTGAGGTGATTCCTAGAGCGTGGTCACGAGGCTGCTCAGTAGCTTATGGCTTGCTTTGCAGGAGAGATGCCGGGGACAGGGTCTTCCGTTGGCTTGGCAAATGCTCCTGCCTTTCCCAGCCTCGTCCTTGGTGTGGTTTGGCTCTAGGCTTCAGTACTGTCAAGCCACAGGGGCTCTTGAAGGAAAAGATACAGGAGCAGCTTCAGCGTAGAACAGTTGGATGCGAGCAGGTGATTAAAATAAACAAAAAAGCCTCCCAATAGTACTTGAAGCTTTTTTTAGGTACGCTCTCGAGCTGCCTGTGCTTCCAGCTCTGTGAGCAGCTCTGCAGCCTACAGGAGTAACTGATGCGGAATAATGGTTCAGACAAACACCACGGCGTGGGGAGAGCTCAGTGTTAATTCTACTGGAGATGCTCCAGAGCAGAGCCACAAATCCATCTTCAGGGTCTCTCTCTCTTAGCTCACAGCAGTAGTAACAAAAAGTAACCCCAAATGTTGGTCATGATTACCATAATATAAGTGCTAGTTTGAAACCTGCTATGTGATGGGAATAGGAGATGCTCCCTCTTCATCCCATCTGGATGCCTTTCCCCATCCTCTATACCCTGGTGCTTGGTTTAGATGTGTGGGCAGGACTTGCAAGAGTTGCCAGAGCTCTTCCTGTCCACAGCTTGGGCAGGTGTGAGTAATGTGGCTTAGGCAAGGTCCACTTGGCCAGGCATGAGACAGTGGGGAAAGAGCTGTGAGAAGGAGGAGCAGCAGCTCCCTGTGGTTTTCCTTTAGCCCTTCTGGAAGCTCTCTCCCTGTGGAGTGCTCTGCTTGTCCCATGTAAGTGATGCCCTCCTGACATGAGCTGTAGTCCAAGGGCCATTATTGCCATTTCCCTGGTAGTACAGGTATTGTGCTGAGCTCTGATTTATAAGTCTTGAGCTATTTTTGGGACCCCTTACTTAAAAATACAACCTGTGCCTGTGTTTAAGAGAGTGGCAAAGTAGCCTTAGGATCTGAATTTGCAGTTAGAGCTTTGAAGTTGCTCAAAATAGGAAGGAGATAAATCTTTTCTTGCAGGCTTAAGCTTTTTGTTTTCCATAGTAACATCCCACATACGGTGTTGTCAAAGCACAGACTGCTACTGTTTTAGGGAGTTGGGTTTTTCTTCTTCCATCTCAGCTTATAGCTTCTTTAGATCTTTCTGTTGTCTAATGATATTGTGTTGCCAGTTCTGCATCCCAGATTTATTTTCAGATGGGATCTAGCTGCTGGAAATATGTTCCTGAAGTACTGTAATTGTGGGTTAATTCTTTACCAGATTGGGTCATGAATACTTGGCACAAGTTAATAGAAAAAGACCTGTTTTAGAAACGTTTTGCTTT